TGTCCCCCTGCCTCCAAAAAAACAAGCTGTGTCTCACGTCCATTTTTGGCGTTCGCAAACATCCAGAGCAAAAGAGTTAAAGCAGCAACAAGGCATTTACAAATCCCAACATGCCCCGTCCTGTTTTCATGAACGAGCAAAACAGGCCACTATTTAAAGGCAGGAGACACACCCAGATCCAAAGTAGAAAACAGATTGCTCCTCGGTGCTCACAGCCCACGTCCTACAGTTTCCAGCCCCAGTTTCTGGGACCCCCTACGTGGACCCACCCCACCTCCCCTCCTGGCCATTATTCTCACTCTCCTTTCTAACCTAATCTGGCAATGTTACAGCCATGTACTTCGTAGATCCGTCTCTGGAAGGAGTTTTTAAAAGTGACCCAGGCAGGAACCCACACCCACACCCGTCTCCTTCGCAGCGTCTCTTACCTCGGGCGTGGATCACAAAACACAGAAACGTGACCCCGAGGGGCCCCCAACAACAGCTCCTCATCCTTGGCGTTGGGGAGAAGAACGCCTGGGTCCAGTGAGTTTTGAGATTGGCCCACCCCTCCCGGTTGCTGTGTCCACTTCTGCTTCCCCGGCTCGCTCTCGGCAGGAACAGAGGGCGATGCCTTCAAGTGGAAAATATGAACCAAGCTGTACTCCCAATGGGCTCGGCGCTCGGCATCCAAACAGCACAGCCGGCGAGATCCACGGGACAACAGCGTGCACGCTGATGACAGCCCCAGCGCGCGCCTCCCGGGGCCCCGATGGCCAACGCCCGGGATGGAGGAGAAGCTACCTGAGCTCGAGCAGCCAGCACGCCCGCTTGGAGGCTCTGCTCCCTGTGGGCGTGGGTGGTGCCGCCAGGTCCAAGGTGCCAACCCTGAGCCCAGGGAGACACTCCCAGCCCCTGGTCCTTCCCACGAAACCTCCTCCAGGGCGGTGACAAGACAGCGGGGCTGAGTGTGAATCTCGGCATTCGCAAGCAACACGCCCTGTGCCTTCAGAGTCACTCTGTCCCCGGCCTCAGGGACCTGCACGCAGCAAGTGGCAGAGCTGCGACTCCCATGCAAGGCCCCGCACCCTGGCTTGTGCCTTGCATCTGGCCGTCCTGCTGGGGACGAGCCCAAAGCCGGCTGTCAGAATCGCCTGTTCAGTTACACTGAGCGAAATGGGGTGGGGGGTGGGGGGCAAGGAAGCGGAGGTGACCGCCGGGCAGATCTTTGTCTGGAGCGGGCTGGGGTGCCGTGGAGTGAGGGGTGCAGTCAGGAGTGTGGTGCGACGCTTGGCATCCGGAGAAGGTTTCCACTCAGGATGGTTTCAGTTCGCAGTGAACAGAGGGGACGTGTGTTTCCTGATCTCATTAAAAAACCCAAGTTCCTTCGCTCGGCACGTATTGGGCGAGCACCGGCTTTATGGAAAGCACACAGGTTGCTTGGGCTACGAGGCTGTGTCACATGGTGCAACGACCACAGGAAACATATGGCAAGTGTCATGGGGTGAATTATGTCTCCTCAAAAACATATGTTGACGTCCTAACCTCCAGGACCTCACAATAGGACCTG